AAAAACGCTAACATTTTCAGAAGAATGCAAATAATTAGTAGGAACACATTTTGTCATGATTGTGATGTCACCAGATTGATTTTAGATGCAGCATAACTTTAGCTAACTAAGATTGAGGGAACCACTGTAGCGTTAACTTTGCTAGTAACAGTAATGGCAACATTGCCATCTCTCTAAAGTAAATTTGACGACGTCATAATATGGCAAAGTTTTTTGCCTACTTTAGCATTGTCATATTTCGATGCCACTTTTAAGTTAGTGTCATTTAGACTAAACAGTCACATTAGCCTCTGAGCTGCAACCCATGTCTAGGGCACAAATATATATTGGATGCTGCTATGGTGGTGCTAGCTAACTCATGTCTGACAGTGTACTAATAAGGTTTTTCAGTCCCAGGGTCCCAATTTGTGACAAGCTTGGAGGGGACTATGGTGTTGAACGCTGAGGTGTAGTCAATGAACAGCATTCTCACATAGGTATTCCTCTTATCTAGGTGGATGAGGACAGTGTGGAGTTCAATTGAGATTGCATTGTCTATGGATCTGTTGGGGCGGTAGGCAAAGTGGAGTGGGTCTGGGATGATGGAGTTGATGTGTGCCATAACCAGCCTTTCTGTCCTGAATTTGTGTAAATTTTTAACACCATATAAAGGTTAAATGTATTGTTTGGCTGGAACAACCAATAATCAACACAGCAGGTTGTCCTATCCCCTTGAGGCCTTTGTCTTATGCTTTAATGTCCATACATTTTCCCTCTTATGACTAAAGTTCTCAAGAAATGATAATTGGGTCAGTGCCAATGGAGTTTTTTGGGACAATAATGTCCTCTTTCAGGCAAGATGGATGTCATATTGTACAATAATTGTCTCCCCTTTCCGTAGGCCTAGATTAGACAGTTGCGTTCAAGAAGAGGTCATTTCTATTGATCTGTTTGTGTGTCAGCAGAGTAGGCCTAGGCAACCCTGTGATTTGTCGTATTAAAAAAGATTCTGTCTCCAGCCATATAAAGTGTAGTAGAATTGCATGTAGTGCTGAGCAATTAGTGCTTTTTGAGGTCGTTTCGGTTCTATTATTATTTTTAACATTAAATGCACTGTGGGTTGAATGCTGTAACAACACAGAATAAAACAATTAATAAAAGTCCCATGATGGTAGTGAATACCCATTACTGCTTATCACTTATTAACCATAATTCATTCACGTAACGTTACTTTAATAAAATACTGTATTTCAGTTGTGTATATTACATGTTTTATTTGATGACTTTATTTCATTCCAAGTCATCTCATCTCTATAGAGCTGCTGCCTATGCTGTCTGAAAAAATCACTATTCCAGTAGTTCTTCAAAGTAAATAAGGCATACTTTTATAACTGCTGAATACCAACTATCAATCACTTAGATCATGTATTTCCAGATGGATATCTTGCGAAGCAACTGCTCTCTATCCCTCTCGATCATGCATTCTTCTCTCATCTTTCAGTTTCTGCCCAGACTGGACAAGTAGGCACGCATTGGATTATGGTCATTGTAATTAATTACCACATTTCCTATGCTAAACTATATAGAATATAAGCCTGTTGGAAACTACAACTCCCTACTACATGACACAGTTCGGGCTTGATCTGATTTATCTCTAGAGAAACTGCACATTGGGCTCACAGAAAGAAAACGAACTAAATGGAATTCTAATAATTGAACCGACGTCGGTCAATTAGTTGTTTAAAAACCGAAAACGAACAAACATTTTTGTTAAGCACTCAGCACTGTTCACAGATGCATGAGATGCAAAGAGACCTGGCACTCAACACATCCACAATGCGGTGATTACTAATAATACAGTACAGCACATATGTCCAGTAATAACAACACCCTTTTCATTCCATGTGTCACTGATGAACTCTGCCTATTTCTACAGATGGACTGAAGATTATTTTGCCAGACGGCAGCCTCAGTCATTTGATGGGGAGACCATAATTGGGTAGGTTTTATCTGTCCTGTTAAAATTTCAACATAGTACCTGTTTGTGCCAGAGATTACCTATCCTAACTGTCATTGGTAATAGTACAGTGACTATGTCTGTATGTGTTCGCAGAAACAAAAATGGAGCCAGCACATGGAGACTGGCAAGATGATGTGATGAAGTCCAGACAGACGGGCTTGACACTGTGATGTCTCTGAATGGAGAGAGAGACCTGGCACTCGGCATTAAAATGTTGCTAGACACAACTTTTACTTGTATTGTCTTTTTTTATTATTGAATTGAGTGGTATCAGTCAGTATGGGAGGGGGAAACACTGTGTATTCAGCACCAGGATCAGGGGAACTCCTGTTGTATACGGGACACCACACAGGAAGGTATGACCACTCTGACATGTTTGCCAAGGTAGCCCCATTACCACCAGACAAAATGCCGATAGGCACAGTATCTGTATCGGCTGGGAATGAAAATGAAAGGTGAAAGGTGCACATTGTTATATTAGCAGAACACTGTTGTTATGGTATTATGTAATGGATTGTTTATTCTACATGGACCTGTTACTACATTTGAAAGTTATCAAAACACTTGGTTTAGAATATGTACACTACCAGTCAAATGTAGTCAAGGGTTTTTCTTTATTTTTATTATTTTTTACATTGTAGAATAATAGTGAAGACATCAAAACTATGAAATAACACATGGAAGTAACCATGTAGTAATCAAAAAAGTGTTAAGCAAATCAAAATATATTTTATATTTGAGATTCTTCAAATAGCCACCCCTTGCCTTTGACAGCTTTGCACATTCTTGGCATTCTCTCAACCAGCTTCATGAGGTAGTCACCTGGAATGAATTTCAATTAACAGGTGTGCCTTCTTAAAAGTTAATTTGTGGAATTTCTTTCCTCCTTAATGCGTTTGAGCCAATCAGTTGTGTTGTGACAAGGTGGGGGGTATACAGAAGATAGCCCTATTTGGTAAAAGACCAAGTCCATATTATGGCAAGAACAACTCAATTAAGCAAAGATAATTTACAGTCCATCATTACTTTTAGACATGAAGGTCAGTCAATTCGGAACATTTCAAGAACGTTTCTTCAAGTGCAGTCACAAAAACCATCAAGCGCTATGATGAAACTGGCTCTCATGAGCCAGGGTTGTGGGTTCGATTCCCACGGGGGGCCAGTATGAAGAAATGTATGCACTCACGAACTGTAAGTCGCTCTGGATAAGAGCGTCTGCTAAAATGTAAAAGTGAATGGAAGACCCAGAGTTACCTCTGCTGCAGGGGATACGTTCATTAGAGTTACCAGCCTCAGAAATTGCAGCCCAAATAAATGCTTCAGAGTTCAAGTCACAGACACATCTCAACATCAACTGTTCAGAGGGGACTGTGTGAATCAGGCCTTCATGTTCGAATTGCTGCAAAGAAACCACTACTAAAGGACAACAATAATAAGAAGAGACCTGCTTGGGCCAAGAAACACGAGCAATGGACATTAAACCGGTGGCAATTTGTCCTTTGGTCTGGAGTCCAAATTAGAGATTTTTGGTTCCAACCGCCGTGTCTTTGTGAGACGCGGTGTGGGTGAACGGATGATCTCTGCATGTGTAGTTTCCACCTTAAAGCATGGAGGAGGAGGTGTTATGGTGTGGGGGTGCTTTTCTGGTGTCAGTGATTTATTTAGAATTCAAGGCACACTTAACGAGCATGGCTACCACAGCACTTTGCAGTGATACGCCAGTCCCACTAAGCCCAAACAAGATGGGATATCATTTGTTTTTCAACAGGACAATGACCCACCACACCTCCAGGCTGTGTAAGGGCTATTTTACCAAGAAGGAGAGTGATGGAGTGCTGCATCAGATGACCTGGCCTCCACAATCCCCCGACCTCAACCCAATTGAGATGGTTTGGGACGAGTCGGACGGCAGCATGAAGGAAAGCAGCCAACAAGTGCTCAGCATATGTGGGAACTCCTTCAAGACTGTTGGAAAAGCATTCCAGGTAAAGCTGGTTGAGAGAATGCCAAGAGTGTACAAAGCTGTCATCAAGGCAAAGGGTGGCTATTTGAAGAATCTCTTGATTTGTTTAACACTTTTGGTTACTACATGATTCCATATGTGTTATTTCATAGTTTTGATGTCTTCACTGTTATTCTTCAATGTAGAAAATAGTACAAATTAAAGAAAAACCCTTGAATGAGTAGGTGTGTACAAACATTTGACTGGTACTGTACATAAATTCAGGAATTGCATTCTTCTCATATTACTCTGTAGGCTACTGACGTATTCAAAGCTTCCTCCGGCATCTCACCAAACATCTGCCTGTAGTTTTTGAACTAAACCTGCAGGAGGTTTGTTTGTTGTGATTGAGTGGGGGGAAACAGCTGCGGGCAAGGTACTGACCGATGCGTGTGTCTTAGTGGTGGCAAGGACACACCCAAAGAACACCCACATTAAACCACACCCCCAAGCCAACTCACGTTTGGCTTCTGTCTTGGCCACCAGCATTTCTTTGAGGAGCATGCCAAAAAAACAATGCCAAATTAGCGGGTGCAGTTCCCCTTTAATTTAGAATGGAAAATGAATGTGTGTGTGCAACAATTGTTCGTTCCACTAATCGAGTCGTTTCAAACTAATAGTATCGTTCTTGTATCGTATCGGAGCCCATGTGTCTAGATGAGTATTGAATCGTGCTTGTAAGACAGATGCACATCCCAAATATTATTGCATTGGTCTAATGCACTTGTCGCTCCATTTCAGGTCACAGACTTTGGCTTTGCCAAAAGAGTAAAAGGCAGGACCTGGACATTGTGTGGAACTCCAGAGTACTTGGCACCGGAGATCATCCTCAGCAAGGTGGGTCCTCCTGTACAATTTAGTGCGCTGTACATAGTGTGTGTTTGCAAACTAGGTCTGATTTGTAGATTTGAACTGGTTGCCAGTGTTGCTTGCACAGTATGTGCGAAGCAAATCATTCAAGATGATTGTTTTCTATTCCATTCCACTGTACTCCGATAGGGCTACAACAAAGCTGTGGACTGGTGGGCACTGGGAGTCCTGATCTACGAGATGGCCGCCGGGTACCCTCCGTTCTTCGCCGATCAGCCAATCCAGATCTACGAGAAGATTGTGTCTGGCAAGGTAGGCAGGGCCCCTCCGGTCAAAAATGACAAAAACTAGCTGTCGGCCTATGTGGTGTCACTAGATGTTCTGGTCATTTGCCAACCTTGCTGTGCATGTTTCTATCATTCCCAGTGACTTTTACGCATATTTTAACATTACGTTTCCACAGTTAAAACTCAAACCCCTATCCTGTGTTCTAGGTACGATTCCCTTCCCACTTCAGCTCTGACTTGAAAGACCTGCTGAGGAACCTGCTCCAGGTGGACCTGACGAAGCGCTATGGCAACCTGAAGAACGGGGTGAATGACATCAAGAACCACAAGTGGTTCGCCACAACGGATTGGATCGCCACCTACGAGAGGAAGGTACGTCCCGAATTAAGTTTTAACAGTGTGGAGTAAACATTGTTGGTTTAGAACAGTAAACAACAGATTTTAAAAACTAGGTAACGCATCAAGTATCTACAGAAAGATTAACATTCCAGGGCCCGGTTTCCCAAAAACATCTTAACTCTTGTGGAAATTGACCTACGGTGCATTCGGAAAGTATTCAGACCCCTTGAATTTTTCCACATTTTGTTATGTTACAGCCTTTATTCTAAAATGGATTCAATGCTAATTTTTCCTCATCAATCTACACACAATACCCCATAATGACAAAGCGAAAACAGGTTTTTAGAAATGTTTGCAGAAATACCTTATTTACATAAGTATTCAGACCCTTTGCTATGAGACTTGAAATTGAGCTCAGGTGCATCCTGTTTCCATTGATCATCCTTGATGTTTCTACAACTTGACTGGAGTCCACCTGTGGTAAATTCAATTGATTGGACATGATTTGGAAAGGCACACACCTGTCTATATAAGGTCCTACAGTTGACAGTGCATGTCAGAGCAAAAACCAAGCCATGAGGTCGAAAGAATTGTCCGTAGAGCTCCGAGACAGGATTGTGTCGAGGCACAGATCTGGGGAAGGGTACCAAAACATTTCTGCAGCATTGAAGGACCCCAAGAACACAGTGGCCTCAATCATTCTTAAATGGAAGAAGTTTGGAACCACCAAGACTCTTCCTAGTGCTGGCCGCCCAGCCAATCTGAGCAATCAGGGGAGAAGGGCCTTGGTCATGGAGGTGACCAAGAACCCAATGGTCACGTTGACAGAGCTTCATAGTTCCTCTGTGGAGATGGGAGAACCTTCCAGAAGGACAACCATCTCTGCAGCACTCCACTAATCAGGCCTTTAGGTAGTGGCCAGACGGAAGCCACTCTTCAGTAAAAGACACATGACAGCCCGCTTGGAGTTTGCCAAAAGGCACCTAAAGGACTCTCAGACCATTAGAAACAAGATTCTCTGGTCTGATGAAACCAAGATCGAACTCTTTGGCCTGAATGCCAAGCGTCATGTCTGGAGGAAACCTGGCACAATCCCTAGCATGGTGGTGGCAGCATCATGATATGGGGATGTGTTTTTTCAGCGGCAGGGACTCGGAGACTAGTCAGGATCGAGGAAAAGATGAACGGAGCTTAGACTGGGGCGAAGGTTCACCTTCCAACAGGACAATGACCTTAAGCACACAGCCAAGACAACGCAGGAGTGGCTTCGGGACAAGTCTCTGAATGTCCTTGAGTTGCCCAGCCAGAGCCTGTACTTGAACCCGATCAAACATCTCTGGAGAGACCTGAAAATAGCTGTGTAGCGACGCTCCCCATCCAACCTGACAGAGCTTGAGAGGATCTGCAGAGAAGAATGGCAGAAACTCCCCAAATTCAGGTGTGCCAAGTTTGTAGCGTCATACCAAACAAGCCTAGAGTCTGTAATAACTGCCAAAGGTGCTTCCACAAAGTACTGAATAAAGGGTCTGAATACTTATGTAAGTGTGATATTTCTGTTTTTTCTTTTTAATACATTTGCAAAAAAAACAACGGTTTTTGCTTTGTCATTATGGGGTATTGTATGTAGATTGGTGAGGGGTGGGGGGAAACATTTTAATCAATTTTAGAATAAGGCTGTAACGTAACAAAATGTGGAAACTGAATACTTTCCGAATGCTCTCTATATCGATAGCACTAAATTGAAATGTTTCTTACAGAAGACATGAAAATGCATAACCATGGTAGCAATTGAAATGGAACAGTTTGGAGATAATGGGAAAATTATTCGACCAATGGTGAGTACACAAAAGTTCACAAGACTGAATCCAAGTATTTCACTGTGGATTTTATGTGAATTTTACATTTACTGTACTTTTCGCTGCATTTGTTGATAACAAAATCTGAAAATACTCTGGATACGTTCACTAACATGATAAGACTCTTCCTAGAAAATGTGGGGTAGGTGCAACGTAATACAAAAAAATGAGTGAGAGGACTAATTGGTGTCTCCAAGTGGCCACACCTCTCCAAAATGTGTGCAGTTCCTAAGCAATTTCAATGCACTTTTATGACTCGAAGAGACTTCAACTATAAGGTACTTTTCTTTAGCTCTCCTAGCTGTGCCGTTGAGGAACTCGAGCATCCCCGCTGTCACACAATTACTCTTGTTGTTTACACAATCTAAAAACAGTCCATTATAAGTCACAAACTGTGTCAGGTGGGCATGATTTGAAAGTTTGTTCTATTGCCAACATGACTAGCTAAATTATAAAATACGATCTTAGTGTTAGGCTTTCACAAGGCAATTCAGAAAAACAGATCGTAATTTTGGTGCTCATAGAAAGGAGCCATGAGTGCATTCAGGTGCGTGTGCCGCACCAAATTTTCTTCAGAATAAACAACAACATCTTGTAACTGTACATCAAACATAGTGATCATAAACGTTGACATTGTTTATGAAATGAGTTTTGTGATTTGGAAATGTGAAGTGCACATTTGGACTCAAGGGTGATTGGCTTGCTTGTATGACATCAAAGCGGTATTTATTATCATCCTCAACGTCTCATCTTTGAAAATAGGATGTCTTCTTAATTTACAGAGTCGGGAAACGTCTTGTTGCGCACAGTGCAAGTTCAGAACGTCTGTCAGTCAAAACCTATACAGCTCTGTGACGTGCAGAGCCAAAGCTCTGACGTCATATATATAGCATGTTACTGTACAGCCACAACGTTCCAATTTAGGCTCTTATTAGTGCCCACATCTGCCATTTTCAACCCGTATATAGGTACGAGTGGAAAGGGTTAAGGCTAAGTTCATTGCTAGAACCTTCATAGGAGTATCTTTAAATCTCAGAGCTTCCCAAAACCATCGTTACTAAATTTGCACAGCTAAGTGCGTTGTTGGATGTGTTTTTTCCCTACCTTTATACACAGAAGATCTCTGGTAAACATAGAACCAAAATGATTTATACGTCTCTCTGTAACCGCCATCACCTCATGTTTCAGCATGATAATGCACAGCTCCATGTCGCAAGGATCTGTACACAATTCCTGGAAGCTGAAAATGTCTGTTCTTCCATGGCCTGCATACTCACCGGACATGTCACCCATTGAGCATGTTTGGGATGCTCTGGATCGACCTGTACGACAGAGCGTTCCAGTTCCCGCCAATATCCAGCAACTTCACACAGCCATTGAAGAGGAGTGGGACAACATTCCACAGACCACAATCAACAGCCTGATCAACTCTATGCGAAGGAGATGTGTCGCGCTGCATGAGGCAAATGGTGGTCACACAAGATACTGACTGGTTTTCCGATCCATGCCCCTACCTTTTTTAAAAATGGTATCTGTGACCAACAGATGCATATCAGTATTCCCAGTCGTGAAATCCGTAGATTAGGGCCTAATGAATTTAGGGAATTAGACAGGTGCACCTTGTGCTGGGGACAATAAAAGGCCACTCTAAATGTGCAGTTTTGTCACACAACACAATGCCACAGATGTCTCAAGTTTTGAGGGAGCGTGTAATTGGTATGCTGACTGCAGGAATGTCCCCCAGAGCTGTTGCCAGAGAATGCAATGTTAATTTCTCTACCATAAACCGCCTTCAACATCGTTTTAGAGAATTTGGCAGTACGTCCAACCGGCCTCACAACCGCAGACCACGTATAACCACGCCAGCCGAGGACCTCCACATCCGGCTTCTTCACCTGTGGGATTGTCTGAGACCAGCCACCAGGACAGCTGATGAAGCTGAGGAGTATTTCTGATTCTGATAGGTTTTGCATGGCTCTCCAGTGGGTGAGCCTGGCTCCCAAGTGGGAGGGACTATGCCCTCCCAGGCCCACCCATGACTGCGCCCCTGCTCAGTCATGTAAAATCCATAGATTAGGGCCTAATTTATTTATTTCAGTTGACTGATTTCCTTATATGAACTGTAACTTAATAAAATATTTGAAATTGTTGCATGTTGCGTTTTGATATTTGTGTTCAGTATACATGTGTTTATAAAATGTTTCCAAGGCTTGTAGGAAGAAGGAATGTTGGGGGAGTTCAGTGCTTTCCCCTCTAACCCCATCATCAAAATAGATGAATTGCCTTTGCCAAATAAACAAAGTGCAGCTGTTATGAATGTATTGTGGTCTTCACTCCCACACTGTTGTCCTCTTGCTTTTCAGGTGGAGGCTCCCTTTATACCAAAGTGCAGAGGACCAGGAGACACAAGCAACTTTGACGACTACGAAGAGGAGGACGTCCGTGTGTCCGACACAGAAAAGTGTGCGAAAGAGTTTTCCGAATTCTAGCAGGGGGTGGGGGGGGGGCTCACATGCATTGGGATTTTTCCACTCGGTTGAGGGTGGAGCTGAGACCATTACATGTTCAAAATAATTGCCTAGTTCCTTCATTCCACAAGGTTGAACATGGTCCTCCTCGCGTGCAGTTAGCACTAAACTTAAAATACACAGCCACATTATGCAGACACCCTCGTGCTGCGACACAAAAATACTAGACCATGTTCTTATCATTTGTTTCCTCTTCCATTTTAAAAAAATTTGTCGCTTTATAGAATCCTCTACCTCCCTCAATTTTAAACCAAGTAATTATTTGCAAAGCAAGACAACCAATTATATGCCTGTTTAAAGTGGCACAAAGAGATTGATTGTAGGCGGTATTGCACATTTTTGTGATTTTGAAGTTTGTTTTTTTGCTTCTAGTTCTTGCCAGCAACTCTTGCCAGTTATTGTCTGTTACATGCCTGAGTGTGTTTTTAGGCTCAATGAAACTTTCTTGGCCCAGTCCTAAACATTTTGCTGTCCTTAGGAAGTAGACCTCATCTTTGTGCATATTATAAATATACATATACAACATCAATCAAATAAGATTTTAAATAAAACACCTTGTGTTTTTGAAGCATGACCAACATTTTACAAAGAAATGGATGTCAGAAAAGGAAAGGACTCAATACTATACGACAGTCCCCATCACAACAGCGTTGTGATTGACAAGATGGGTACAGTAGTAGTGCGGCAAACCTAATTACAAAGGAAAAACATGTATGTGCTTTGTTAATTTATCATTTGTAGCGACGTTTTCCTAAAAATTGTTATATATTTTTTTGCCATGGTATTCAAATGAGGATTAAGTAAGATTTATATATTTTCAGGTACAACAACAGGTTTGAAACCCCAAGAGGAAACGTATGGCCTTTAACTAGTATCACTGTATACAATAGGTCCTCTTTTTGGCAGCACATCCGAAAAAGTACTGAGTGTATTTCCAGAAGCATTTTTTAAATTTTGTATTAAGTGTTCAAATGTCTGGTTGCTATAATTTAGTGCGAAGAGGGTACATAGTTGTAGCTGTGAAGCAGTGTTGGGCAGGTTTAGTAAATCCATCAACAGTCATCTCTCACCTTGTTGTTTGAAATGATAGTTATTTAGCAAGGCAATCGGAAGACATTGTGTAACTGCTATACTTCCCAGTTTTTTTTATTATTTTTAATTTGTGCTCCTGCATGTCAGTCTCCATGTGTTTCCTCCATACAACGGTGTACTGTTGGGACTCGCTTGTATGGGTATTGAAGATGCTTGAGTTCTAAGTTGTATTCTCACAAAATTTCACATGATTGTTTTTGACAGCTTCAGCACCTTTATATTAAATGTTATTTAGCCTTTGTTCAGCTAATTTCACAGGCACAATTGTTGAATGTATTTTTTTTTTTTATTAGAGATGTCTAATAAATTGACCTTTTCTGTTGAAACTTGCATAGTTCCCAGTGTTTGAAGGTTCTCAACATTTTATTTTCAGGAAAGTGTTTAGACAGACAATTGGGGGGTTATTAAAAAAATATTCCCATAAAGAAGGAAATAGGTAAATATTTCATATAGTAAATAGAAATACTTTACAATCTTATGCCTTGTTAACATCCTGGGTATAAGGAATGTGTCAATCCAATCTCTACAAATTAGTTAAAGGGCAACGCCGCCACTTTTCAACCTCGTTTTCATTATCTCCAGCACCAAACCAGTGTCTACGTGTGTTAAAATGGTGCATTTCACTATATTTTGTAGAAAAAAATAGTGTAAAAAAGTTATACCCGATAACATAATCAACGGTAATTTTCAAACGCTGAGAATCGCAGTGACGTGAGAGCAAGAAAAGACCCTCCATCTGCCTAGAAACTAGTTGCAGGTTTTGAAAATCACTGTTTTTCTTACTTACTTACCCTGTGATGTCAGAGATCATTTTTTTAGGACCATATTTTTATCACAGATCATAGAAACGCGCCGTTTTCAGAGATGTAGACACTGGTTTGGTGCTGGAAATAATGATTTAGGTTGAAAAGTGTCTGAGTTTCCCTTTAATTAATTTTCAGAAACTGTGGTAAATTTACTGACATTTTATTAAGTTTGATGAATAACCCCTGACGTTTGTAATGTTTTTATGAAAAGTTACTGTTAAATGATGGCGCTTTTTCAGAGCCACCTGACACTCCTTACAGATGAAAATCCTATTAAATGTATAACGTCTTTATAGTCACACACATATACCAGTATGGGCCATTATATGAAATGTCTATGTATTTAGTTTGTTGGATATTTTGCACAATTTCATTTAGAAGGCTGACACTTTTTCCCACCCATATTTACTTGTATTTGCAAGGGAAGTATAACATACTTTGCTGTAGCAGATTTTATGTAACAAAATATGTCACTGTAATAAATGTAATTATTTGTATTAAAATATTATAATATTTTGTATTACATTTGACTGATGAGATGCTGTTTGCTTGCTGTATGCAATATATGCTGCAGTGACATCCATAGACACTAAGGTTTTAATAAATGCTGGATATGTAATTTCCCCATATGGTTTTACAATCTTTAATGTTTTAGTTTTTTTCTTGAATATTACATTAACATTACTCTTACTGCTATGCTTGGAAATAGAGTACCACAGTCTGAGTCATAATACCCATAAAACCTAGCGGTCAAACACGGAAATTGTTCCAATCATTTTTTCATCATTCGTTTTAGAACCACTTCAAATAAGGTCTTTGTTTCATGTAGGCTTACCCTGGCGTGACGTTTTCATAACCGTGTAAATCTCTATCGGACAAGGTGACATCAATATCACCTGTATTTAAGGTAAAAAAAGAAATGCTAATTAGCCGCTAATGTGGCTATCATACAGAACTACACATGCCTATGTACACCCTAGACCCACTACAATTTGCATACCGAGTATGATTTTTTTTGTTCATACTGGCCCCCCGTGGGAATCGAACCCACAACCCCGGCGTTGCAAGCGCCATGCTCTACCAACTGAGCTACACGGGTGATAGGCTAAAGGCCACAAAGGCGCTTAGTTTTATCCTGACGAACGGTTTGCTAGGACACAAGTAGTGGACATCTTTGGTTAGAGTACACATTAACAGGTTAGGGGTGAGATAGAAATCTGGATTGTGTTCCTGATAAGCTATGACTGGAGGTGTGATGATTTTCACATGGGTGTCGTCGCGCCAAAATCCTACGTTTAGAACTGTTTTCAACCTATAGATATTCTCCCGTTCAACAACTGGCAGCGTCAGTAAAAATCCCACTTAATTTCGATTAACATCAACGTGTATTGGAATTGCAGACCCCAGACTATAGGCCAGGTGTGACTGTAATGGCTTTATCATGGTTGTGGTAGCTGAGGTCAATATGTTGGGCACCGTTGAGAGGGACACTAGATATGAGGGGATTCTATTCATGGCCAAGTGGTCCATCGAAGAGCTAACTTCAGAGAGAAAATCCTCCAAAAACAATTGGACATGGGCATAGTCATGGTTCATGACCTCTACTAGCTTGCCTACCGACAGGAGGGTTTTGTTCAGGAGAGTAGCGTGTGTGTTTACCACCAGAATAGTGTCCTGGAGAGACCTTCCCACATGCTGCAACCTGAGTGCCTGTGATTGCATCTGTTGCAGGATAAGTGGCATCTCTTCAGTAATCTCCCTAACATTTATTTTGACCGTGGCTAGACTGACTGCTTTGACGGCAGTGCTACCTAGAGCAAATAGTGACCCTACGGCTGCACCTATTGAGAGTAGCGCCCCGAGGAATCATTTTTCTCACCTGGGCTCTGCTAGTTCTGACTGTGTGACTGTGAACTTTTGGAGTTGGGCCAACATGTGGGCAGTGTCTAGCTGAGCGTGCTTAACTGCCTGGGTGGTCCAGTTAGCCCCGGCCCAACTCATATGTGCCGCAGGGGAAATATGTTGGCGGTACACGTTCTCTGCATCTAGGCGGACGTACACCCTCTGCGTGTGTACTCTGCAGTTGGTTATAAGGAGTCCTGGATCATCACGGAGAACGATACCCGTAGGGGGTCCACTCGTGAGTACATCTGCTGGATTGGTTTTGACCAGGGCGCAGTGTCAGGATCATCCAAAGGAACTCCATCCTAAAAAAAATGCATACTTAGAGATATTGTTTGATTATTTCAGTTGTGTTTAGTTTTTTGTTTGTTTGAAGAAGAAAAAAACATTTTGACAACAAATTTAGCTGATTTTCCTATTTTGAACAGCACACGCAGGACAATATCAACAATGACAACGAAATGTGAGTCTTGCAGCTGGGAAGAGAAGAAAATATGTTAGGTGCAATGTACTGACCTCCCGGAAGGTATTAGCTGAGGATACTTAAGAATTTTGTAGTACTTCTGATTGGCTAGGTTTCTATCTATTCGGGGCTGGCTTACACCCCTTCCATTCCCATGGGGGGAGTGTACAACTTGATTTGGTTCCTGTGGACCCACTTGAACATGATGTTCTGTCGACCTTTGCTGATTCTGATTTGATAAGCAACAGGTGACAGCTTTAACACAATCTCATGTGGCCCTGTCCAGTGGGGCAGGAACTTTTTTGCAACGCCCACGGGTTTGGTACAGGAGATGCAGTGGAAACGTCATTTGCCGGCCCATCCTCATCTCAAATGGTGTTACTCCCATAGACCAGTTGCGTGTGGCTCTGATATCCATCAATACCAGTGGGAGTTTGAGGTCCCAATCTTTTTGGTTGGCTGCCACATATTTCCTCAAGATTGTGACAATTGTTTGGTTGCTCCTTTCTACCCTGCCGGAGCTCCTATGGTGTTACGCGATGTGGAGTTTAGCTTTGACTCCCAGGAGCCGCCACAGTTCGGTCATTACAGAAGCCGAAAAATGGGTTCCTCTGTCGCTGGCCACGGTTTCTCCTGGTAGGCCGAAACGACTGAAAACGTGGTTGAGCAAAAGAACGGCTGTGGTTTCCGCTGTGTCATTGGGTGCGGGCAGGCACTCTACCCACTTTGTGAATGTGCAAGTCACTGTGAGGAGATACTTGTTGTCTCTTGCCGACCTGGCATTTGGGCCGACTCAGTCGATCTTGATCGAACTCCAAGGGTAAGACACACTGCAAGGGTGCTCTGTGAAGTGGCTTGGAGGGTTGAAACTGGCAGCAAACTAGACACCCCCTCATGTATTTTGCCACGTCTTGTTCCATGTGAGGCCAGTGGCCACCTGTCGCAATGTTTCACATGTAGCCTTGACCCCCCTATGGCCCCCACATGGCTCGTCGTGGGCATGAGCTATCATTATCCCCCTCTGTGTGTTAGGAACCACCCACCTTTGTGTGGCGTCGGTTTCTGAAACATAAACCAGTAGGTCAATCTACAAGTGTGAGGTGCTGTTTAGTCGTGTGAGCCTGCAAAAGCCAGCTCAGACACATAGGATCAGAAAAAAAGACATGAAAGTGGCGAGGGAGTCATCTTGGTGTTGAATTGCTACTAGGTCACCATTAAAAAATGAATGAGTTAGCAACTTATTATGTTCGTGCGAAGATCATTCCCGCGGTGCTACATGGCTACGCATTACTGCAGACACCATGGGTTCCTCTGTGATCATTGCGTCTCGAGCATCGAACACCCAAAGGGTGCCGTGAATTGCACAAGATTTCACCATGCTGTCAGCATAATTTGAGTCGGTGCAGATTGCCAGTTCGGACAAGTCGTGTTTTACCGGCTGGCTGGTCTTGTTGCCTAGCTGAAATTGAAGCGGTTTGCACAGAATGTTGTTATGCTATACCAATCCCACACCAGCTTGCAAGTGGTCTAGCTGACGGTAAGAACAGCCATCTACAAATGCCACTGGCATGCCAAGACACAGGTTGTATTCGAAGTAGTGATGGTTCGATGGCAACGGTGGAGCTACGTCACATTGGGCTGGTGCGAAGTCGGTTTCGTCTTCACCGCAGCGTTGACACATGTCCAAAGCCCCACCCAAAGGCAGGTTTTTCACTTTTGCTTAGTTGACAACCACATCATGGCTTTGCAGCGTCATGAGCCAAGCCACTATCCTGCTGGGTACAGCACCCTCACGCATTCTTTGGCTTTTCAGAAAAGTCACCGGCTGGTGACATGTTTCTATGATCACCTTTTGTCCGCCGACATAAGAGGTGAAGTGCTTGATCGCCCAGACTGTCGACAGCAGCGCTTTTTCGCAGTCTGAGTACTTGTGTTCAGCAGGGTTGAGTGTTTTTCTCGTGTAAGCAACCACATGTCTGTCTTGGTCGTATTTGTGGTATAACCCAGCACTAAGGCAGTGCTCTGAGAAACCTACTTCCACAAAGAACGTCTTGTCTTTGTTGGGGTAGACCAGGCAGGATCCCGCACAAAGCAGGTCTTTCAAGGAAGTCACAACTTCGCATTGAGTGGCATCCCAAATGAACAAGTTATCTTTCTGAAGAAGACCGGTCAAAGGTTTTGACAAGTCGGAATAATTTTCGATGAATTGACGGGAGTAATTACATACTCCCAAGAAGCTGCGTACCTCATGAAGGTTTGCAGGCATTTTGATGTTGCGGACTGCTTGGATTCTGCTAGATTGTGGCAGGATGCCCTCAGTACCCACCAGAAGTCCAACATAGTTGACCTTGGTCCTGCACCATTGACCTTTCATGATAGCCAGCTTAGCCCCTACCGTTCCTAGTTGGTTAAGAACGTGGTCCATCTCATTGAGGTGATGTAATCAAGTCTCACTCCTCATGAGAACATCGTCCACATAGATTATCGTTCCCCTGGTGGCTGCATCTTGCATTGCCTTGTGCAGGAAGATGATGAACTCTGCGGGGGAGTTTGAATACCTGAAAGGGCAACGATTGAACGTGAAGAGCTTGTTCGAGAAAGCGAAAGCCAACTTGTGTTGGTCGCGAGGGTCTACTGTCATGGTCCAGAAACCATTCGCCACGTCGACAGTGGAGAAGTATTTGGCGTTTGTCACCTTTGGCAACTCTTGGTCGAGCTGTGTCATAGGCCAATGAGACAACGGAACCAGCTTGTTGAGTTTTCTATAGTCAAGATGCCATTTACCCGTTGTTTTCAAAACAGGCCACACGGGAGCGCTGTACGTACTGTTACGTTCCCTGATTATCTGTTTAGCTAATAGGGAGTCGATAATCTCTTGTACCGCCGAGTACACTGCAAGCGGAATGTTGTATTGTCTCACAAACATAGGAGCAATCCAGCAAGTCTGTCGACCAGATCTCTGTGTTTGTTAAATGTCCCGCATCCTATGTCTTTCAGTGTCATTGACAAGTGCGTCTGCCTCCGTCAGTAGCTGTAGTACCTGTGCATGGAAACCCGGATATGGTTCAGCAGCATTGTAGGTCATCAGGTGGTGACGGCTTGTCAATGGTGGAGGAATCATTAGCTGTTACGTCATCAGTGTGTACTTCACGTGCAGAAGAAGATGCGGTATCATCCTCCGTGATGATGGAGAATATCAACAGGTTGTTGTCAGAATCAACATCAAGCCTGAAAGTTGATGTGTCGTCCAGTGGCAATACGGGAGTTATTGCGATTGCCTTTGACGGACAGTAAAAAGCGTCCCTTCCTCACCACATAGGTCTAGGGAGGAAGGAAGAGGCCCAATCACGGGAACAACTAGTTCAAAATCATGGAATGAGTAATCAATCAATGTTCCTAGCTGAGTGTGCCGAGGAATGGAGATATCCGCTTGAGTCAGATTCTGCACCAAGAGGTAAGTGGATCTGGCGTTTAGCTTCGACAGTGGGTTACCATTGATAGTTAGCCCCAATTTGAATAATTGCGGTGAGGGTTGAAAGAATGCAGTGGTGCCTTCCATCCGGTAGCCGGGCGCCAGGTTCCGTCTTATAGAAACCTCTGTGGTTCTTGCCGGTATCCCCATGGCGGACTCAGCTATCATGTTGCAAGCTTCAGGAATAGTCTGCCCGGATGCCATTCGCACAGGGTCGAAAGACAAGGCATGTTGAGCTGGCTGCGCCAAAGACCAAAGAACTTGGTGTATTGTATCGTGTTTAACACCCAATCTCACCAAAATGTCAGCTCCCACATAGACTGTATGCGGGAGGTTCGCGACAACCAGTAAGTAGTGAAATACTTCCTTGTTTCCAATGCGGATCGATAGCGCACATACCCCTAAAGTGGTGAGTGTCGTCTGGGGCGTTGTTCCCAGTGGGAATCTGAACGTTTTCGGAACCAGGGGGTGGCAGTTAGCCACTTTTGAAATGTTGTTGAACATTTCCAAACTGATTGCAGATTTTATGGACCAGGTTGCCAGCATGGCATCCTCAACCGTTGTGCCATTTAGGCACAAGCCGCCTATCAGTGGAGGGCGGTATGTATCGGCTGGTGATTCACCCAAGCTACATAGGAAAACCTCATGTTCAGTTAGTTGCCGAGTTGAACTAGTCAGCCTGTCTTCTGCCACAAATTGTCAGTTGATGACGCCGAACCGTCGTCGTCGCCTAACGTATTGCATGTAGCCTTCGATGAAGGCGGTGGTGTTAGCGGAGTTATTGCGATTTGTGACCAGATTTGGTTGGATTTCCAATCCATCAGTGGTACCAAACGGTCTATTAAATCCATCCCAATCAGCATCTGCTCAGTGTCAATGCTAGTCACGCACACAGGGTGAACAAGTTCAGTTTTAGTAGGATACGCCTGGTAAGAGGCAAGGTAGCCTGAGTGAAACCTCAAAGTTTAGTGTCGCGTTGTTCTGTTTTTAACAACGTTTCGCTGGGTCCACTGCCCTTTTGAGTTCATCCAGCAAAGTCTGAGATATGAGGGAAATAGTCGAACCCGAATCTATCAGTGCATCACAGGTCAAACAGTCCTCTAAGACAGCTTTGTGGTATGGCCTGTTCGAGTCGATTTTTCTTGTCATATCGCCAACAAAGTGGAGTGGGTTGGCAGAACGGAGTTATCTGTGTCGATTTTTAAGACAGATTGCTGTACTTCGTGACCCAGTGGGTCCACTATCGGAATAGGAGAGGAATCAGCTGTTGCAACGCTGCTTACCTTACATCTATGTCATGGTCTCTAGACAAGGCCCATGGCTTGTGTCTACCGTAATTTTCGGACTATAAGCCGCGCCTTTATTCAAA